TCACAGTTCAAGGCCAACCAAGGCAAATATTTTGTGAGACCTCCATCTCCAGCATAACCAGAGCAAAATGGACTGGAGATGTGGCTCAAGCAGTAGAGCATCTGCTTTGCAAACATGATGTCCTGAGATCAAACCCCAGTTGCACCAAAAAAAAAAAAAAAAGTAGTTAGGGTTTATCTTGCTATTAGAGTGGAGTGTGTCCTGTAAATGTTAAATTCTTCCAGTAGTTTGAGGGTTTTTTTTTTGGTGGTACTGGAGTTTGAACTCAGGGCGCTAGGCAGGCACTCTACCACTTGAACCATGCCCTCAGATGTTTTTTGCTTTATTTATTTATTTAATTTTATTTTTATTTGTTTTATTTTTATTTTATGTTTTTGCCTGGGGCTAGCGTCCCATTTTTTTTTTTTCTTGGTACTGGAGATTGAATTCTGGGCCTTGTACTTGTTAAGCAAGCACAGTACCACTTGGGGTGCCCCCCTAGTCCTTTTGCTTTTAGTTTGTTTGCAGATAGAATTCTTGATAACATTGCCTGGGCTGGCCTGGAGCCACGATCCTTCTGTTTCTGCCTTCAGAGTAGCTGCGACTACAGGTGTGAACCACCACACCCTGCTTGTTTTTGAGATAAGGTCTTCTAATTTTGCCTGGGGTGCCCTTGAACTGCCAATACTACTATCCCTGCTCCTCAGTAGTTGAGATTACATGTGTGTACACCCCCACACTGTGCCCTGGGCTTGAACTCAAGACCTGAGTTGCTGCTGTGGCCGTGCCTCTCAGCCTCTCATTTACATTTATGTTGTCTTGTTCATTTTTTTCAATCACTTTTTCTGTTGGTAAAACTTGATCATTTATATTGATTGTCTTCAAATTTATGGATCTTTTCCTCTGTTGTCTTTATTTTGCTATTGAGTCCATATGTTGCAATTAATTTATATGTTTCACGGATTCTAAAGGTCTCGTACCCTTTCTTTATTTAACTTTACACCTTAACATATTGTAGAAGGTAGTTCATTTGTCCTAAATGGTTTTTGGCAGTGTTGATTTTCTAGATTCATCTCCATAGTAGCCCTTAATGTGTTTTCTGCTCCCTGTATTTTCTGTAAGTTGGAAATAGATGTGGAATGGAGTTCAGCAAACTGTAGTGTATGTGTCAGATGCAGGCTCCCTTGTTTTGATACATGTTGACGGGTGCAGCCTGGTCTGCTCATTTATGTAGTGTCCATGCCACTGAAGTGCTGCAGGCGAGTTGAGTAGTTGTAGCACGGACCGTGTGTCTGAGAAAGCCTGAAATCTCTTACTTTCTGTGTCTTTATGGGAGAAGTCTGCTAATCCTTCATTGAGAGATCTTAAATTCATGTGTTTGAGGAGGTGGTAGCGGTAGTGGTGATGCATATTTTCATAGATGACATTGTAACATTTGCTTGTTATGTTAATAGCTATCCAGGAACTTTGCCAATGTATAGTATGTTTTTATTGATTATCTACATTTTTTTTTTTTTTTTTTGGCGGTAGTGGGGTTTGAACTCAGGGCCTACACCTTGAATCACTCCACCAACCCTTTTTGGTGAGCGTTTTTTCAGGATAGGGTCTCAGGAACTAATTGCCTGGGCTGTCTCCGAACCCCAATCCTCCTGATCTCTGCCTCCTGAGTAGCTAGGATTATAGGGGTGAGCCACCAACACCCAATGATTACCTACACTTTTGCTGTTTAATCTTAGATTAATATTTATCTTTGATTGTCTTGTGGCTCTCATTCTGTATGACTTAGTGTCAACTATAAGCACTGTTCTTGGTCTTTTTTTTTTTTCCTCACTCATGTTAGGCAAGGATTCTACCATTTGAGCCAGGTCCCGGCCCTTTTTGTTTTGTACTTTTCTTTTTCTTTTTGGTAGTACTGGAGTTTGGGCTCAAGGATTTGCACTTACTTGGCAAGCATTCTGCCACTTGAGCTAGCTATGCCTCCAGTTCTGCGTTTTGTTTTTGAGATGGGGTCTGCATAACTTTTCCTTGACTGTCCTTGAATGGGAGATCCTCCTGCTTCTACCTTCTGAGTAGCTGGGATTACAGACGTGACCACCATGCTGAGTTGTTATTGGCCTCTTGAAGGTGTTCCGTCTTCTTGTGCCCCAACCACTCCTTGGGTTCTGAGGATTGAACCAACTATGTTCCCAGTCCCTCCACCTTTTTTTTCTTTGGCAGCACTGGGGTTTGCACTCAGGGCCTTGCACTTGTTAGGCACGCACTCTACCACTTCAGCCATGGCACCAGCCCTTTTTGCTTTAAGTTTTTTTGAATATATTCTCCCTTTTATTCCCAGGCTGGTCTAGAATGCTTCCTGTGTAGCTGGGCTGGCAGGTGTGCGCCACAGACTTTTTGTCTGAGCTGCCCTGGAACTGTGATCCTCCTGATTTTTGTCTCCAAAGTAGCTAGGATTATAGGTGTTAGCCATCTTGTCTTGTTTATGAGACAGGGTCTCTCTACCTTTTTGCCTAGGCTGGCCTTGAACTTGAGATCTTCTGCCTCTGCCTCTCAAGTGTTAGAATTACAGCTCTGTGCCAACTACACCTGACTCTGACTTTTCTTTCTTTCTTTCTTTCTTTTTTACTAATCCTTGTATTTAATCTGCTATCAAGCTCACTTGAGTTTCTTAATTATTGCATAATCAATTCCGCTATTGTTTGGTTCACAACTCTGCCAAAATTCTGCGACTTGGCGTTGTCATTTATTTCAGTTATTTTAAAATCTGTTTCTGAGCCAGGTGCTGGTGGCTCATGCCTGTAATCCTAGCTACTCAAGAGGATTATGGTTCAAAGCCAGCCCTGGACAAATAATTTGAGAGACCCTATCTTGAAAATACCCAGGGCTGGTAGAATGGCTCAAGTGGTAGAGAGCCTGCCTAGCAAGCATGAAACCCTGAGTTCAAGTCCAAGTACTGTACCAAAAAAACCCAGAAATCTGTTTCTGCTGATTCTTTTATTTGTGTCTCCTTTGAAGTTTTCAAAGAGAAAACTTCTCTTTGAAATTTGTAATATCAGTTTCTTCCCATGGTTTTTAATCATTTATTGTTTCCTTGAATGACCACCTATTTTTCACTTGGTACCAGAAATTGAATGAAAAAACTGAATGTAAAAATCATCAGAGATAGTTTGAGGTTCTTAGTTTTATAAGTTGCACTGTAAGAGTAAACAGGTGTTGGAGAAAGAACTGGTAAGAATTAGCTAAAAGGATCATCCTGGGTTCTAGGTCTGATAGAGAAGGAATTGAGGGAAATAAGAAGAAAATTAAAATCCCAAAGAGTAGGAGATAGACAACTAAAAAGGTAGGACATCAGCATCAGAAGAGGGGATATTCGACATTATGGCTAAAAATAAAAATGAAGTTAGTATGGCACATCCCTTTAATTCTAGCATTCAGCAGGCTAAGGCAGCAGAATTATGAGTTCGAGGCTAGCTACATAGTAAGACCCTGTCTTAAAAAAAGCAGCAAACGACAGCAACAAAGGAGCAGACTCTCTGGAAAATAGGTAGTGTGTATGTTCCTTGAGTTTAATTTAGGAATGAACCACTTAAGTTGAGAGGTGTAGATAAATCTTAGTGGTCAGTGCAGGAGTATGATGACTTTTGAAGGAAGTGATGCTTGGTAAATGGAGAAGGCCACCAAGTGAATTGCAGGCCACATTGTACTTTGCAGCTTCCTTTGTTTTTTTGCATTTCCTTTGAAATTATTTTTAGCCTTTTGGTCTAAAAATGTCCAGTATAGTTAAGCAAGTAGGTGAAGAATAGAAAATGCCATGCTTTTGACACAGTTGCCTAGAAAGGTTTATGGTTAGCAGACAGCAAAACTCTTGCCTCCTTGGGGACACTCATTCTTGCTCTGCCTACCTCACTGGTGCTTGGTAAAGATCTAGTGGAATGTGTCAGCTCTTTCAAAGGTGAGAAAGCACCGCACAAATGGATGGTGCTTCATAATCACGTGGCTGGTGGAGAACTGAGTCATTATAATTACACTAAAGGGAAAAATTTAAAATCAGCCACTTAACTGCATGCATTAATGTATTCATATAACTTAGTTGGGTTAAGTAATATTTATGATAAATTTATGTGTGAATTGGGGAATATCAGCATCAGAAGTTACTATTACATTTTTCTGCCTGAGGGCTTCTACATAAATTTTCATTATCTTTGGGAAAATGAACTTCCTTTTGAGAAAGCAAATATTATTGTGATGAGGTGGCTGAGTGGTTAAGGCTGTGGACTGCTAATCCATTGTGCTGTGCACTCGTGGGTTCAAATCCCACCTTCTTTGTTTGGAGTCTTTAACCTGGCAGAGTGGCTTAACTGGTTAGAGTGCCTATCTAGCAGTGGGAGGCCCTGAATTCAAACCCCAATATCATCAAGGTGTTTTTCCTGGGTCTTCAGAAAAAATTGAAGGCATGACTCAAGCAGTAGAGCACCTGCTTTGTAAGCGTGAAGCCCTGAGTTCAAACCCCAGTCCAATCAAAAGAAAAAAATGTATTTTAGCTGGATGCCAGTGGCTCATGCCTATAATCCTAACTTCTCATAAGGCTGGGATCAGGAGAATTGCGGTTCGAAGCCAGTCCAGGCAAATACTTCGTGAGACCCTATCTTGGAAAAAACCCATCACATAAAAGGGCTGGTGGAGTGACTGAAGGTGTAGGCCCTGAGTTCAAGCCCAAGTACCTAAAAAAAAAAAAAAGAAAGGAAAATATAAAAGATCAGTTGTCATAAATTTAACCTTTGTTTTTGGTGGCACTGGGGTTTGAACTCAGAGCCTTGTGCTTGCTAGGCAAGCCTTCTACCACTTGAGCCACTCTTCCAGCTAAACTTTTACATTGTTAATGTTAAACATTGTACATTACTGGATATTTTGTCATTTGATGTATAACATTAAAACACTTTTAGTAAAGTAATACTATAATTCATAGGCAAAACATTATATTAAAACTTTTAAACTAAAGCATAAAATTGTTTCTCTGTCTCTAGGCAAAATTTGGTTTCTCTAATATTACTGGAATTGACTATTCTCCTTCTGCAATTCAGCTTTCTGGAAGTATTATAGAGAAAGAGGGATTATCAAACATTAAGTTGGAGGTAACTATTATTTATATTACAGTTTTTATTATACAAGCTATAACGTTTAAAAGTTCGTAATGTATAGTAGATGCTGACATCTTTTGAATTCATAAATTAAAGATCAATTGTAAATAATCCAAATTGAAACATTAAAAAGTAACTATTAAAAATTTAATCTATTTAATTTAGGGAAGTTTCTCTTCTTCCTTGTGTACTGTCTATTCATACACTACCCACCTTCATGTTTGCAAAAACACCTGATACCTAACTGTGAATTAACCAGATAAGAAAGTGGCAGATACTCAGTGGCACAATGCAGCCGGAGATCAGTGAGCGTATCTTCACATATTAGAATCTGTGAGACCATGCCTCACTTCGAAGCTCTAGAATTATGTAAAAGCTGACTATTCTGAAGTCCTGCTTGGATAGCTAATAGGCTCTTGGTTAGAGACTTTGTGAAAACTCATGGTTTTCTCATGAAGTGCTCTTCTCAGGATTTCCCATCTCTGTCGTTGGTACCACCGTTCACCCTATTGCACTGACCCAAAGCCCAAGGACCCATGTTGATTCTTTTCTCTCCTTAAGTCCTGTGTCCAGTTTTGTTAGTTTGTCTTCAGAGTGTATCAGGAATATGATCACTCCTTGACATTTCAGCTGCTGTGTGCCAATTCCAAGCCACCATTATTGCTCTCCTGTACTACCACAAAGTCAGCCTTTTATTTTGCCCCCTCATTTCCAGTCTTTCAGGCCAGGTGTACGTGGACATGATAGCCAGAGTGAGCTTTGAAAATGAAAATCAGTTGGTATCACTTCCTTGCTCACACCCTCCATTGGCTTCTCTTTGCATTCAGAATGCAGTCTGAACTGTATACCAAGCCTTAGGAAATCCCTCATTTATTACTTCTTTCCCCTTTATCCGATACTCCATGGTCACACTGGCTTGTTTTCTGTTCCTGAAACATGTCAAACCTGTTCTTGAGTCTTTAGACTTGCTACTCCCTCTGCTTAGACTGTTTCCCCAGATCTTAGCACATTGAGTTTGTTTTTATCATTGAAGTGTCTGCTCAGATATCACCGCAGAGAGGTCTTTCTGGACTGCTTTTTCCTACATATTTCTTTTCAGGGCTGGTGGAGTGACTCAAATGGTAAAGTGTCTGCTTAGCAAGTGAGAGGCCCTGAGTTTGAATCCCAGCACCACTAGAAAAAAAAAACTAAATATTTCTTTTCTCAGTCACTTACCGTCTTATTATTGTTTTTATTTTCTTTCTTTTTTCTCTGAGGCCTCTCTTCTTGACTTGCAGATGACATCTTCTCCCTGTGTCCTCATGTGGTCTCTCATTGTGTCTGTTTTTTATTTTCTTAAATGCACATTATCTGAAATAGTTTCTTAAGCTCATGTGTCAGTCTTCTGTTACTGTGACTGAATACCACAGATTGGATAAGTTTTACAGAGTAGATGTTTATTGAGCTTACCATTCTAGAGACTGGGAGTCCAAGAGCGTCGCACCTGCATCTGGCAATGGCCTTCGTCATGCATCGTAACTTGGTGGAGGGTGTCACATGACATGACAGAACAAGCATGCTAGAGAGATCTTCCTTTTATAACAAAGCTACTCTCAATAATCCATTAATCCAGTTATGGAGAGAGCCGTCAGGACTCAGTCACCTCCCACGGGCCCCACCTCCAAAGTACCGTTAACTCATGAGCTGGAGTACACACTCAAATCATAGCAGCTTATCTCTTTCTTTATAGAGTAAAAGACATGTTCTGATACAGGGACCTTTTCTGTTTCATTTACTGTTACGGCCTGTATCTGAAAAGTACCTATAGGATAGTTATTCACAGTAGATTTGCTGAATGCAGGAGTACTTTTCTACAGGTATTTAAGATGAGGAAATGTCTCCAGAGTTAGCACTTCATAGTGGGAGTCATTATTTGGCTTCAGATGCAGTGAATACGGTGCTTTGGATATGAGGAAGGTGGACAGACCTGTCTTCAGATATAAATACATGCTGAGTGTGATGGTGCCCACACAGCAAGACCCTACTCAAAAGAAACCAAACAAAAAATATGTAAATATGTACTTTTTTTTCAGTTCTGGGTCAGGGCTTCATGCCTGCTAGCCAGGTGCCCTACCCCTTGAGTCATGCTTCCAGTCCTTTTCATAGTAGTTTTTTTGGAGATAAGGTCTTGCTTTTTATCCAAGATCCTCCTATTAACTCTTCCCACTGTAGCTGGGGTGACAGGCATACACCACCACATGCACCATTTTTCTATTGACATGGGGGTTTTACAAGTTTTTATTTACCTATTTTTTTTGCTCAGGTCTGTCTTGAACTGTGGTCTTCCTGATCTTAGTCTCCTGCATAGCTTGGAATGATAGGTGTCATTCCATAAACCACTGCACCCAGCTATGTCTGTGGCGGGGTCTCGATAACTTTCTGACCCGGCTGTCCTTGAGCAATGATCCTCCCCAACTCAGCCTCCCAAGTAGCTAGGATTAGAGGCATGAGCCACCTGCATGGCTGATGTCCACATTTTTAAGTCAATAGTTTAATAAAACTATTTGTAATTACTTATTTGTGTGAATAAATTGTAAGATAATTGCTTGTTTTTTCAAAATAGTTTTTCAGAATTAAGTTCATTAGCAAATTTTTGTAACTGTTTTATAAACTTGAGGCATATCACTGTTTCAAATACTTGTATTATTTTATTTTATTTTTTTTTTTTTGGGGGGAACTTGGGTTTGAACTCAGGGTTTTACACTGCAAAACAGGCACTCTACCACTTGAGCCACACCTTCATATCATTTTGCTGTGGTTCTTTTGGAGATGGGGTCTTGTGAACTATTTGCCAGGGCACCTCAAACTGCAGTTCTCCCAGTCTCAGCCTCTCAAGTAGCTAGGATTACAGGTGTGAGCCACCGGCCCCTGGTTGTATTAGTTTATTGAAAATAGGAGGCTGATGTATGACTAAAGAATTACTGTGCATAATATTTCCCAAGTAATTACAGTTAAGTAGCCACTTAATTTCCTAAGCTTCGTGCCACTCATATCCATTAGTAGGTTTGCAAGCTGCTGAGTCAAAGCAGAAGAACTTCTGAGGTGCCGTGTGTACTTCAGGTCACACAGCTAGACTATAAGCTTAGATTCTTATTTCCATTGACCTGAGTTCCAGGTGAATTTTGTCATTTTGATAAGCATGAACTATTTTAGTTTTTGAGAGAAACAAACTTTTTCATAAACCAGGCTTTTGACTCCATAAGGTTCTGGTAGTGGGCATGTGTCTGGCTTTGATTTGTTTCCACACTTGTAGAGATTTGGGATGTCCAGGAAACACGGTCAACCTCTCTTAGTAATTTTGGCTTTAATGATCTTGGAGTGAAGCTCATAAAAGTTACCTGTAAAGTTGAAAATATGTTTATCATATGTAAAGTGCCATCATAATTAATGGGCCCTTTTATGTATGACTTTTTATAGCTTGTAACTTAAGTTCTATAAAGATAGTGCTAATTGTTCTCACATAGACCTTGATTTTTAATATAGGTAGAAGACTTTTTGAATCTTTCCACAAAGCTGTCTGGATTTCATATTTGTATTGACAAAGGGACTTTTGATGCCATCAGCCTTAATCCTGACAATGCAGTTGAGAAGAGGAGGCAATATGTGAAATCTCTCTCCAGGGTGTTGGAAGTAAAAGGCTTCTTCCTAATAACCTCATGTAATTGGACCAAGGAAGAGTTGCTAAATGAATTCAGTGAAGGTAAATGGCTGCATGGTATTTAAATGTGTGTCTACCTTAGGTTTCTTGTACTTAAGTCATTTTTTCCCCCTGTGGTGGTATAGTGTATTATATTTCTATTTGTAGGAATTATCTGCTTTTCTTCTGTGTTAATGACCTTGGTAATAACTTTTAACTGTATATATACAAGGAAATAACATTGGTTGAGATCCAGAGGCCTCTTTAAAAATTTTTCCCAGAAATCCTGGCAGTTGAGTACTAAAATTTATGAGCCTGTAAAAATCAAGTTCTTTATTTAAGCAATACAATCTTTTATTTAAATTATATAATGTATTATTTAGTAAGTTAAAAAAAACCACGTATTTTAAGTTTGTAATAATGCAAGTGGTCTTTTTTTTTTAAGTCTTACATGATGAAAATTTTAATTTTATAGACACTTTACATATAATCTTGCTCTAGTGGTCATTTATTATTCGAGAATTGTCTTCTTATTTTCTGTGAATATTAAACTGTTTTTTAACAGTACACAGAAACAAAATTTGGGGAACTGATAGAAGTTCTTCCTACTAATTCTTGAGAAAATCTAATTCTTGAGAAAATCTCTTCTGCCTTTTCCACGATTTTGGTGCCCATGCAGGATCTGTTTTTGCCCCATTAGCCAAATGTAATTAGTTTTGTGTCTTCTAATTGGGGTTTGTGAGGATTGATAATCTTACAATATATACCATTTTGGGTTTTGTGACAGACTGTTCCTTCCATGTTTTAAGAAATATTTTAAATCTGCCAGCTTATATATGCAGTGCACAGGTATTTGTAGGAAGTATTCTGAGAATCTTTAGGTATTTGTTTACTTTTTCTTTACAGTCTTTTTTCAGGTTAGTATTAAACTTTTTTTTAGAGGAATGGGAGGAATTTTCAGGGTAGAGTTGTAGGTAAGTGATAGGGTACTAAATATTTGGTTACATTTTGAACCTCAGTTGTCACAGCTTATGGGAAATCAGTTACTTCAAGAAAGCAGTGTAGTGCGTAACAGTGTGGATATCATTTATAACCATACCACACACACCTTATCTTAGAACAGGGAGAGAACTTAAACACATGTCCTTGTGTGTGCATTCAGTGGCTTTGTTAGGTTATAAAATATAGAACCTGAAGTGTTTGATGCTGCAAATGTGAGCTGTGGCTTCATTTCCATTGCCTCTGGAATATAAGAATAACATGCAATATATTATCTTTTATTTTATGCCACTAATTTTATTATCTTCCATGTGAAATGTTTCCTTGAGAAATGTTGACTCTTGGTATTGATAGTCCCTCCCTCTTCCTGAAGCTTGACAGTTCTAATAAATGCTCACAGTTACACTGAGTAGGGCAAGTTCCTTTCCTGGTTTTAAAATACAGGTGTTCTCCTTTACCCCTTGGAACCAGCAGACAAAAACATATTTGTCTGTCTTTGGTAATGAGGAACAGACTTTGGCCTGGTATAGTCTGGTTAGAAATGTGTCTGTGTCTGAGAACTATTGAGTAAACTCTCTATGTTTAGAACTAAATAGAGAATTAAAATAAGCAAAATGTTTTAACAGGAAATGTTAAAGGAATATATGTCATTGAAGATGTTTTTAGGCCTGGGTCTCTTAGGGGATTGTGTTTGGAGTTAGGATACCGGGTAGTAACAGTACCCTACCTATAAGGCTCCTTCAGTAGCTTAGATTGGCTGTCACATTCCATTGGCCTAGAATGAGGCTTGCTTCTCCAGTCCTTTAAGGTTCTTAGCGTCTTTCCTTATTTGAAATGTAAGCGTTCATGAAACTGTTGACATCTTGCATTTTTCCTTGATAGTCCTGTTCATACAGTATAAATATTTTGTGGTGTTATTTGTTTCACTCAGGTTAACTTGTATCACTTGTCAGATATTAGGGTGTCTAATTTGATGTCCAAGGGACTTGACTTTGCTACAGCATTCCTATTTTACTATAAAACTAATAATTATGAAAAAATGGAAAAAATATCAATAATTCCAATATGTAAACATACAGAGTAAAATTACTAAAGCCATTTGTTAACCATCAGTGCAGTACAACTACCAGTAAAGATTTTGATGTGTTATATACCGAAATATAATAACTTAAGTTTTATAGTGTTAAGTTTAAGGAGTTAAAAAGTTAGTCCTGGAAGATTGACACAGACAACTCCCGTTTTCTCTTGAAAATTTTTATCTTAATCATATGTAAAATTTCTCCAAACAAAAATGGGTATACACCATGTACCAACACAGCAGCTCCATTTTCTAGCATTAAAATAAAGACCAGGTGTAGTGGCAGAAGCCTGTAATTCTAGCACTCAGCAGACTGAAGCAGGACAGTTGTGAGTTCAAGGCTAGTGTGGGCGTCATGGTGAGACCCTGTCCCCCAAAAAAATGTGCATACATACATATATATACACACACATGTAGACTGTATACCTCATATAAAATATATTTCTCATGCATATATTAAAAACGTATATCATACTATTTTTTTCAGATGGTACTGGAGTTTGAACTCTTATCAGTTTTTAATGAGCATTTTAATATTTAGTTACTAAGATTTGATAGTTTGATAAGAATTTGAAATAGGATGTGTAATGAAACAAAGTATAAAAGTCTAATTGATAGCACAATATATAACCTTAATTAAACATGTTTTTCTGTTTACAACAGGACCCTACTACCCCAGGAAAAATAATCATCCTGCAAATTATTAGTCCTTTTACTGAGTCCTGTTACCTAGGTCTCTTTTTTTGTGGTCCTGGGCTTTGAACTTAGGGCCCACACCTTGAGCCATTCCATTAGCCCTATTTTGGGAGGGTTTTTTACATATGGGGTCTCAGGAACGATTTGCCTGGGCTGCCTTCTAACTGAACTCTTCCTAATCTCGGCCTCCTGAGTAGCTGGGATTACATGCGTGAGCCGCCGCTGCCCGGCTTGTGTATTGTTTTATTGTCATAGTTGTTATTATTTCTAGTGGTACTGGAGTTTCAGTTCAGGCTCTGTGCTTGCTAGGCAGGTACTGTCACCTGAGCACACACCTCCAGCCCCTGTTAGTGTTTTTTTTTTTTGTGGTGTTGGGGATCAAACCAAAGGGCCTCATGCATGCCAGGTAAATGCTCTACCACTGAATTATATTCCAGCTTTGTTTTATTTTTTAAAAACAAAATAGTAAAGTGTTACATTTGTATCTTATCTTACAGTTTAGGAAAAATGCCACATTGTTTTATTTGGATCTTTACTAAAATGAGTGCCATAGGGGCATTGGCATCTGTATCCTCCTTTCACAGAACTCAGGATTCTGGAGAAGGTATCTCTCAGTAAGTGAGAAAGCAAAGACTCCCACCCAAAGCTAGTGTTTCTTTTAAAACTATATCGTGCTGCTTTGAAAGTTACTAGTTTGTTTTCTTCTACAACATTTGCCAGTTCAGTTTGGATTTTGATCTTTGTTACAAATTCTTTTCTAAAAAGCTGTGGTAATTTTGAAGTATACACTTTAGGGCCTTAAGTACATTCACATTTGTGTGTCGTATTACCACGCATCTGTTCCAGAACCTTCTGATCTTCTACGAATTCATTTGTACTTTCAAGTCATTTAACCTTTCTGTGCTAAGTGCTTTTAGAGATGTGAAATGGATTGAGTTCCTTTGTATATAGCCAAGAATTCAACACATCAGTCCTCTCTCCTGAGTAGGAGATAGCGAAGTAGGCTCAGAGGGATGCAGGGGAGGGAAGGGTAAACAGGAAGTGGAGGAAATGGGGGATGGAGGGAAAGCCTCTTTTCTGAAGTTTGGTTTTGGTCCTGTCTGTTTTGTTGATTTCAATGTGAATTGTGGGTGAGCTGGAAAATCACAAAATGAAATTCAGTTCCACAGTTTTGTAAAGTATCTGAAAGTACAGGGGTAATACAGTTTCCCTTAACTGTGGGATCCATTCCCTAATACAAATATTTTAATTTTGTCTGACAGGATTTGAACTTTTCGAAGAGCTGCCAACACCCACGTTCAGCTTTGGAGGTAGATCTGGAAACAGTGTAGCATCATTGGTTTTCCAAAAAACTTGAGACTCCTTGGACAAATTCAAGTAGCTTCTAAAAGAAGCTAATCAGAGAGTAAACTTGAACAGAGAAAATACAAGTGCAAAATAATAACCTGCTGTAAGGTAAAAGTACACAAGTACACGTGCTGAATGACTTACAGTGAATGTAATGTTCCTCTCGTCATAATCTAAATTATCCGCGCGGTAGAGTCTGGAAGAGACAAGTCTTGTGTAGCATTGTGTGCGGTTATGTTCTTTTTTTTAAGTACCGCGCTCCGACCAAGGAGTGAATTTTATATTATATTATTGGATCTTGACAAACTGCCTCAAACTCATTTCTTATCATGTTAGGAGCATATAGTTAAGTGCACTAGTTAAAGCTTTAAGGGAGTAAATGGAAATTTACATATTATAAGCACGCTATTCTTAGATTTTTTCTGCTCTCTTGTATAGAGTTACAAGAATTAGTCATTAGACAGACATTTATAGAGGATTTGACCAGATCTGATTCCACAGGCTCTATTATAAGTGCCAAAACAACTTTTTATAAGTAGTTTTATTAGGACGCAGGATAATAATATAATAAGTAATATTAAGTTGTGGAGTGTGAATGATAAGACCTATTTTTGCTTTTTGGTGCGTACTCCTGCGAGATTTGTTTGCACTCAAGGTGCCGTTCGCATCTTGCTATGCAGACTGGTCTCTACTACATTGAGCCTACCGAACCAAGCCATTCTCTAGCGAATGAACATTTGGCACTTCATCCCTGGTAAGTGTTGTAAATCTGGTTGATGTGCAGAGTGCCGCTTTAGGCACAGATTTACTGCCTTTCTCGTGACGCTTAGCTAGAGACAGTACGAGCCATGACTACCAGCCCATCTTCCACCAGACCCTGGCTGTGCATCTATCATTACTAGAGTATGTTTATAATACCTGTGTGATAAAAGTTCCCTGGTCTTTTTCAATAGTGTTAAATATAAACAAATCAAGAGAAATCTGCGCTCACTCGAGTCACAGCAATTATATTAACCCTCTTAGGTCTTCAGGTCTCGGTAGTGCTCACTCGCGCCTAATATAATAACCCAGCTTATCTAGAGAGGTTGGAGACGTGGAAAATTGTGGTTTGAGGCTAGGCAACTTTGTAGCAAAAAAAAGTTAGATGACGACTTCAGTCTTAAAACCAATAGCTTGCGGCGACTAGTTGTGATGTTGCACCATGTCCACTTCGCGAGGCTACTACAGAGAAGTGCTACAGCGGACGTATACCTTGGTTCGCTAGGAGCATACGAGACTGGGCATAGAATGTGATTACACCTGAGTTCGAAAAATACACTCTCAAGCAAACAAAGGGCCTGGGGCCATTAGGCTCGATAGTGAGATTATAGGCGATGCCATCCTGTCACTAGTCTAGCTTTTGCGAGCACTGAGGCCTAAATTCAAACCCATGAAGTCATTCATACCCTCCATAAACATAATGCACATAAGCAGGAGATTTCTCATTGAGGCCTTGTATTACTTGCTATAGCAAGAGTAGTAAAATAATTCTCCTAATGTCAAAGAAGGCATTTAAGAGAGCTTGGGTAACTTGTGGGCTCAACCTATAAAATCCTAAAAAGCTTGATTTCATCGACTAACCACTCACAAGCGGTGAAATAATCGTAATATGGATAGGTCATATGCTTGCATCTGTGACGAGCACTAAACCAAGTAGTAGGAAGACAGAGAACTAAAGCTTGTTATATGCTAGCCCTGTGTTAAGCTATGCTAATTTATTCCATCATTGAATCCTCCTAATTATATATGTATATCCTCCTAATATATATAATGCATATATATACACATGCACACACACATACTATATTGTTGGTACTAGGGTTTGAACTCAGGGCCTTGTACCTGCTAGGCAGGTGCTCTATCACTATGGCACACCTCCAGCCCTTTTTCACAAGACTCTTTTGGCTAGGGTCTCACTTTTTCCCCAGGCTGTCCTGGAATTGTTATTCTCCTGATTTCATCCTCTTGTGTAGCTTGGGATGGAGGCATGCACCACTGTACCCAGCTATTGGTTGAAAATGGGGTCTTGAAAACTCTTCTCACAGGCTGGCTTCTAATCTTGATTCTTCCCATCTCAGCTTTTTAGGATTATAGGTGTGAGCCACAAGTACCCAGCTCTCTTAATGCCTTCTTGACATTAGGAGAATATTACTTACTCTTCTATGGTTCAGGAACACTGCAGCTGAGAGAAGTGAAGTCACTTCTACGAGGTCAAAATAGCTAGTTCAGGATGGAGCCATAATTCTTACCTGGGTCTGTCTAAAATTCATTCTCTTCTAGCATAGTGTGTCTCCCAGGTGCCATGTGTATACTTTTATAGCATTTTTAGCGCAGCGGGGGAGCTGGGACTATCGCATATAAAATTCAGTTAGAGAAGTTGGGCAGTTCTCTTTAGGAGCTCCTTGTTGGTCTTGCTCACCAGCAGCTTGATAGTGCTGATTGTGGGTTTTCAGAATAGTGAGTCAGCCTGGTGAGTCTCATCATCCTTTATTACTTTTTACCATCTCTGCACTTGTCTTCTATCAAGAACTGAATTTTGACATTCTTCTGTGAAAGAGGGGTGTCAGTTATATAAACTCTTGGGGATACAAAGACAAGAATGTTCTAGTTAGGGGATAATTTAGTTTGAGAGAGAATTTATATATTGCTTTGAAAAGATAATGTATATTGATACTTAATGCCACTTTGTATATGAGGTAGTATTTTGGAGTATTAGTAATATATTGGAGTCATAATACAAGGTTTTGAAAAGTTATATAACTTTTGATAGTTTTCACCTTTCGGGGCCTATTTGGTTACAGAACTAACAAATTTTATTAACTTGGCAAATGTTCCTTAAGTATTGAGTAAGTCTAGCATCACATCTTTTTTCTTTTTTGAGGATGGGGATGGGATAAGTCTTTTCATTTAGATCAACACTAGTTACTACTTGCCTTGAACAAGATAGCTGGAGACATGTTTCTGGACTTCAAACAAAAATAACAGTTTTGGAACAATTTATTTTGAGAAATTAGCTGGGTGCCAGTGCCTCATGCCTATAATTCTAGCTGCTCAGGAGACAGAGATGAGGATGATCAAAACCAGCACAAAAAAGGGCTGGTGGAGTGGCTCAAGTGGTAGAGCACCTGCCTAGCAAATGTGAGGCCCTGAGTTCAAAGCCTAGTACTGCCAAACAAACAAACAAAAAAAAGGAAATTACTTCAAAAATTGTGTTAGTTTTTTATGAGACTTGGGATCTTAAACTGTAGAAATACAGTTTTCTAATTTTTATTGAGGCAATCTGGTCTTTGCTGTTTTTTTTCACATAAGTAGTCTGTGGTTTCAAATATAATAACAGATAAATATTCTTTTAGAATTTTGAGTGGTTAAATATAAGCTAGTTTATTTTTCAGTCTTACTTGGTTTTTCGTGTGTGTGTGTGTGTGTGTGTGTGTGTGTGTGTGGTGATAGGAATCAAACCCCTGGCCTCACATGTGGTAGGCAAGTGCTGTACTACTGTACTGCAGCCCAGCCCTGTGTATCTCATTGCACAGCACCAGTCCCAAATAATAGGCTTTCTGTGCGACCAGCCTGAGACACTGGGTTTGATTCCCAGAAAGCTTCACTCGAGTCTTTGTTGAAAAAGCTATGTGGGGCATGTTTGTTCGATTTGCAAAGGTGGAGGCTTTTTTTTTTTTTTCCTTTCTTTTTTTGAATCATGGAGCTATTGGTAAGATTAGGAAAAGGGAATTGTCATTTGTTCTTATCACTTTAATCCTGTTAGAAGGCAGCCTCCAAGGATTGAAACGAGAACAAATGGAAGGTCCAAAAATGCTAACAAATCAAATAACAGCCAGCTGTTAAAAACCAGGTCATTAAATGTCCCCAAGTTAATGAAATGAACCCTAAATACATTATTATTAAGCTTAGTATTGTTAAATCATACAAGTATGTGGTAACTGAACAAAATTATGCCATTAAAAGGAGCATAAGTTGTGTAGTGAATGCTGCTTTTTGTGGATAAGAAGTTGGAATTGTAATTTTATTTAATCAAAAGACATTTATTTTGAGGAAACTTGTTTGAAATGCAAACGAGATTTCTCTGTGGAGCCTGCACAGAGTTGTTGCTTTTCATGATGACGTTACTGCTGCATAACAGGCCACTTCTGTGTGTAGGAAGTGCGGATGCAAGTCCAAAGGGAATTGAGGCCTGAATGGGCAGGCTCCACCAATTAACAAACAGAAAGTTTTTTTAGAACATTTTGTTTAAGCCAGGTGCACAGTTAGAGTTGCTTTTTGGGACTGGTGTTTATGTAAATGAGAGTCAAACCTGACACTTCTCTTGGCAGCTTGACTAAAGCCATTTTAAAATACGTGTAAACTGTCCTTGATTTTTTTCCCCATTGTAGTAGCAACAAGCTTGTCTTTCTTTTTCATCTGTGATATACATGCAATCTTCTGTTTATTTTGAGGGAAGAAGGGAACCAAACAGATACTAAAGACTTTCAGTCTTTTTATGAATAAAAAGCCTCAATCGACTTACTTGTTTTTATATTCCTATTAGTACAGTACTGCATGTTGACCCCAAGTCGTAATCATCCAAAATATAGTAGAAAGCTTCATTTCTGAGGAACCTACTTTAGTAATAAAGTTTTGTATAGCTTTGAAGTAATTTTCCTTAAATTGGTATGCAAAGAAATAAGAGTATCCCTGCATATGTTAATGAACTTTATGTTTTCTTAAGTAATTTTATATTTGTGTGTGTGTGTGTGTGTGTGTGTGTGTCTGCCTGCCTGCCTCTTTCTCTGGGCCTACATTGAAAATGTGTATAAATGCAAACAGTTTGTCTCTGAGGGAGGGACCTGCATGCTTCAGACACAGTCCTCTGCTTTGGGAGCGAGAGACCAGTGTCTTGTGTTCCACAGTAGTAAGCCCTTCAGCTAACTGTAAGGGGTTTGATGGGCTCTGAAAGGAGTCTCGTCCAGGATAGTTTACTGGAAGAGCTGCCATG